GCACAAAGGGTCACTGGGAGGTAAAATCAGGCTCAAAGGGAGCTTGGGGAGCATCTAATGCCAGAGCTTGGCCATCAGCTCAGAATCTACTATTATTAATATGAGGTATTTTTAAGATTGCATTTAAATAAATCGAGCAAACCAAAAAGGCATTTATACTGAAAGAAGACACCAGGAGAGAGTAAGTAGTTAATAAAGAGCAGCGTAGCTTGGGCATTCAATATGTGTGGAAGTTGCACATCCTTCCTGGAAGGAGCTGTTTGCAGTCCTTTGGTAGTAGTTTCTGTCATATTAGTTCTGTCTCTGAATTCGCCTGGGCTCTGTTCTTGTACACTAACCCCAATTGTGCTCCAGGGTGTTCCTGAAGTTGTAGCATAAAGGATGACCTCTTGTATCCAGCACGTTTTTGCATGGGTGGAGTGGAGAGCAGCTCTCCGTGAACCTTCAGCTTGTGCTTCTCCATGCTGCTTCCTCTCAACGCTCTTCTCTCTTTGGCGCTGCCTAACTCTGACTCTGGCTGTTCATGGGGTTTTCCTTTGTGCTTGATCTAACCATGTGGTAGAACAATACAAATTGAACATGGTTCTGTCAAGCACCATGGAAGGCTGCATACTCCCTGCCGCATGGCATGCTGGGATACTTCTGCTGTTTTCAGAAGCATCAAAAGGTGAGAGATTCCCCTTTTCTCACAGGAAAAATGAAAAAGGTGATGTGTTGCTTAACCAGACTCCCGGGCACTGCAGGGGGGAGCCCTAGTGATGTTTGTGACAGACTTTCCAGAGGGCTTGCATGCAGAATAACCATTTCTAAGTAATTAATCTGTTTAATTGCTCTTAGAATGAAGAAGGTAGGCATCCTGTTGATTAATATGATTCAAGGGTGACTCCAGCCATACCTACAGAGATGAAAAATCATTTTTGTCTTCTTGCCTTATAAATAATGTAAGCTACATCTCTCTATCTGAGCTGTCCAGTGAGTCCTTCTACTTGAGGTACACTTTGGATGCCATTTCTATAACAAGATGCCTGCTACTTAACGTAACTGATCTGAGCAACCTTAAGGCGCTGGCATTTCATTATGAAGAAGTATACTGCAAAAGAACCTCAGAAGAGTCTGCAAAGCATCATCTTTTATCTCTTGAAATAACATGGGTAACGTGGCCTGTATGAAGACAGTATATTTCAGTAGTTACATAGCACAAAGCTGAGTCAGCATACCCAAATGGGCCATTTTAGCTTTGACAGCTTAGGTAAGATCTTTAACATACTTCTGCCTAACTTCCTCCCTACATAAAGTAGAGAAAATGACACGTATTCATAAAGGACTTTGACAGCCTCATACAGAAGTTTTCTTATATGGAAATATTGTCTCATTGTGCAAATTTGTTACATATCTGTTGTGGATCCATCAGAAGAAGGACATCTGAGATTCTTAGATTTTGTCTATAATTACTGATATGAATTAATACTAGCGATGTGAAATTACAACAATGTACTTCCTTTTTCTCCTGAAAAGCTATGACAATTGTGATCTAGTGGTTACATGAAGAAGTGAGTGTCAGGATTGCTGGGGTTTTGTCCAAGTTTTGGACCAAGTGATCTCTGTGATTCTATTTTTGGTGCCAGATTTGAGGGAGCTGGATCCCTCTTTTCTAGAATGAATACATCAGGTCAGTATTCAAGCTCTTCTTGAGACAGCTTGTTTTTTTCCAGAACAGATCATCCAGCACTCCTTTAAAGTCCTTTGGGCAAAGCTAAGTTTTAAATACTGAAGTCAGGTTTGCTCAACAATGCTCGAAAAGAAGAATAGGACAAAAAGGTATTTGTCTCCGTTGGTTAATTTGCCGTGTAGGTATTAGAAAGGCACCTAAAATTTTTGAGCACTTGGAAATGTGGTGTTTCTTTGTCACAGAACTGCTGTTTTGTAGAATGGCATGTGTATTTGTTTTATGATACTGAGGAACTGCAGCACCCTGGTACCTGATAGTGGTGTCACATAGGTTGTGAAATGAAAATGTTATCAGAGTAACTAGCAATTCAGGTAAACACAGTTGCCCTCAGTTAAACACAGGCCTTGCTTTGGCTACTCATTTTACAGCAAACTTCTTTCTTTTTAATTTTGGAAATGATTACAAACTCCCAGATCATGTTTTAAATTCAGCCAAGCTTCACCGAGTTCTCAGCTACAGTGCACACATGCTTTCAGGTATAATGAAATGTCCAAATGGCTTGTCTGGAATAGTAAAATGAAGCCAAGTGTTTCTTCTGTGCCTGTCCAGCATCTCTTTTCCATGGCTTTCCACAAGCAATTTTATAGTGTGCAAGAAGTACAACATGCATGCGACGGTTCACCGTGCTTCCTGAATCCTGTCATGTTCACTCAGAGCCCTGCAGCAGTACACTGATAAAGCCCGGTGTGTAAAAAAAGGGATATGCACACTTAAACAGTTCTGCAAGCAGATGGCTAAATTTCACATTAGTATCCCAGATGGGAATATGTTAATAGAACAGCCACCTGTCCAAGTGATCTCAAGGCTCAGGTC